GTGTGTGTGTGTGCGCGCGCGCGGATGTGCGTGCGTGCGTGAGTGCGCGCGAATGGCGAGGTGAGGAGGGGTGGCTAGGTATTAGAACGACACTTCCTGGAATTAAACCCAGATCGCCTGTACCACAGTCATGTCTCATTAAAAGAACTGGTGCGCCCCTCGTCCGTCAACACACGGCCTCCGGGCAAAGACTGGCACTACGACCACGAAAATCAATTCGACACAGACTGGTGAAAACCTCCGAAACTCTCCATAGACCTGTCCATCTCGTGCCCTGATCTAACGATGTCCGGCGGTACCCAAAGTGGTAGCATTAACGAGACACGATAAATTCAGGACGAAAACCTCGACCTCGTATGGTCAGTGGGGAGTCGGCCCACGGTCGCTAACATTATTTTATCCGCTGAAGGTCGCCGTGAACAAACGATTTTTTGCCATACTACGAAAGAAAAACAGGGCAATGTCCTCGGGCGCTCTCTTGCAAAAAATGTAAGGCTTCACAGAAGGATAGCTGAAACAAGAGCACTTTTCGTTCAGCTTGCTCAATTAATTTATTCATATTCGTGTGCACGTTAGAGGTTTCAGTTTAGAGTAGCCTTATAAGAGCCAAAACTATAATGACTACATTTCACCGGGAACAGACACTGCATCGTTTGAGTTTCAGAAAATTATACATTCTCACAGAAACGGTCTCTCATTTAGTTTTGAAGAGAAGGTAGGCAAAAAAGAGAACAGTTTTCTCTCTCTCTCTCTCACTCTCTCTCTCTCTCTCTCTCTCTCTCTCTCTCTCTCTCTCTCTCTCTCTCTCCATGCAATTTCTTTTCCCATAACTCTCCCAAAGTCTTGAGAGCAGAAGCCAAATCAAATCTGAGTCCATCATTAGAGGGCGGCTGACTTCAAGTGACTCCCAAGTAACAGCAGCGGGCCGAACGTCAACACGAGCAAGTATAGGGCCTGTCAATCTCCGCGACAGCGCTGGCCCTCACAGTCGACGAATGTTCTCAATCATTTGGACAACAATTGTGATCTGAAATGGACCATTTGGAGGATGGGCCCGCGACTTGTCTGACAGTGATGTGCTGGCAGGTTGTGGGTGTCTCAGTATACACACAGATACTCAACGATAGCCTCGACTACACGATGGGTCAGGCCAGTATACTCTCATCAAACAGACATCAACATAAATACGTTTTGACACCTTCTATATATAGTATACTTTTATATGTTGAAGTGATTTACGCCCCCACGACACAATCCAGATCATTTCAGGGAGGGGGCGGTCAATCCAGTCTGAGTGGGATACAACCACCCAACTGGCAGACTATTAAACTTTTCCCCCCAAAAATGGCTCATAAAAATCTCGTGAATAAGAAAACAAATACTTTAAACCATTTATTTTCGACTAAATGACAATACTAGCAGTGGGCCTTCCTCTTAGATTTCAATCTCAATTCCTTCCCACAAGAGGAGTGATAGCAAGGTTCCGCAGTGCAGGCTTACACATAAGTCCGCCGCACGTTATAGTAGAGGCTAGCTTGTACCCAAGGAGAACACCAACTCATCACAAGGTCAGCACAACTGTAAGATTGCTGTGTTGTCTATGCAACACCCCCCCCCCCCCCTTTCAATAAATTAATTAATTAATTAATCAATTTAATTTATTAATTCATATAATCAAACAAATAAATGGATGGACGGGAGGGTGGACAGATGGGTGGATAGGTGGATAGATGGATGGATGGATGGACGGACGGACGGACGGACGGACGGACGGACGGACGGACGGACGAACGGACGAACGAACGAACGAACGAACGAACGAACGAACGAACGAACGAACGAACGAACGAACGAACGAACGAACGAACGAACGAACGAACGAACGAACGAACGAACGAACGAACGAACGAACGAACGAACGAACGGATGAATGAATGAATGAATGAATACGAAAAAAAATAATTTAAAATCCCATCGGAGTGGTAGTGGAGAGGTAACAATTACTATACACCCGCCGCACACTATTAGTAGAAGCAACCCCTGTAACGGCGAACTAAGCCACATAAATACCTATATTCAGATGTACACATATAACCTTTACAGTGGTAATGTTGTCTGCCTTTTACTGCTAGGCCAAGTCCTCGACCTTTGAAACAGCCTATTACTGTCTAGTAGAGGGTCAAATCATTTATAAATAAGACTCACAGAAAATCAGTGCGACCAAAATGACAGACTACAATCGAACAGAAAAAAACCATTGCTATATATGAATGAATGATGAAATTTAATTAATGGGTGAATGACCGAAAGTCCCAATGAACGAACCAACAAATGAACGAACGAAGAACAGACCAAAAGAATTAACGATTGAAAGACAGGTCGAATGGGCAGACGGACGAACGGACAAATAAATAAGAAATATGATAAATACACACATTAGTAAATGAAATATTTCGTAATTCATTCAATCAATCATCATTCGTAAGGTGCCGCCCGGACAAAGCTCTTTTCATCTCAATAAATCAACAAAACCTTGAAAGTTGGACATAGCGTACTCAACAAAATTTAATGGTGGCTGATTATTCTCCAACGTTCAATTAAACTTGGAATACTGCATTGTTCTCGGTAAACCAGCTATGGAGAAGTCAATATCAAAGAAAACAGAACAGCTGGGGGTTTCGAGGAAAACAGGTGATAAAAAAACAGAAAGCATGACATTAAAAAAACAGAAAGAATGATATTAGCTCAGGAGTTGAGCAAATTCTTTGTTTAATCAATAAAATAAACGTCCTGACTTTTTAAGGCCATGAAGCATCCCAAGAGAAATCATTAAGCTGGGGATAAATCAGGCCGAGAACCGGGTGACATATGCACAATACAACAGACAGGCAAGCAGCAGCCAGACCGTCAGTGCAGAGGGCATAATATAGTTCATTCCCATCTCTCTCTTTCCCTTTCTCCCCCCCCCCTCTCT